CAGCTCTTCCAGGAGGGTACGGAACAGCCCCGGGGGAATGGGAATGATGGGAATGATGGGAATATGGGAAAATGGGAATGGGAATGGGAAATGGGCATGGGGATGGGGATGGGAAAATGGAAATGGGAATGGGGAATGGGAATGGAAAAATGGGAATATGGGAATGGGAAAATGAGAAAATGGGAATGGAAAAATGGGAATGGGGAATGGGAATGGGAAAATGGGAATGGGAAAATGGGAAAATGAGAAAATGGGAATGGAAGAATTGGAATGGGGAATGGGAATGGGAATGGGAATGGGGGAATGGGAATGGGGATGGGAAAATGGGGAAATGGGAATGGGGAAATGGGAAAATGGGAATGGGGAATGGGGTGGGAATGGAATGGGGTGGGAATAGGAATGAGGAATGGGGTGGGATTGATTGGAATGGGGTGGGGATGGGAATGGGGCAGAAAAGGGAATGGGGAATGGGAATGGGGATGGGGTGGAAAAATGGGAGTGGGGTGGGAATGGGGTGGGAATGGGAATGGGGTGGGAAGGGAATAGAGGGATGGAATGGGAATGGTGCGGGAATGGGATGGGAATGGGGTGGGGTTGAGAACAGGATGGAAAAATGGGAATGGGGTGGGGATGGTAATGGGTATGGGGGATGGTGGACCAGGATTTGGGGGATTTGGTGCTTGACAGGAATGTTCAATAGGAATGGGATGGAATGGGATGGGATGGGGATGGTACCAGAATTCCCAATGGAAATGGGATGGGAATGGGATGGAAAAACTGGAATGGAATGAGATTAAATGGGGTGGGAATGGCAGCTTGGGATTGTGGGATTTTTAGCAGGGACTGTTTCCCGACAGGAATGGGAATGGGGATGGGAATGGGAATGGGAATGGTGCCTCATGATTGTGGGGTTTCCTGGCAGGAAGTGACTTTTCTGAGATGTTCACCATTTGTTTGCGGGATTTTCACAGTTTTTTTCTGGGATTTTCACCGTTTTTCTGGGGATTTTCCCCGGAATTCCCGTTTTTTTTCAGTGATGACCCGCGGCGCCGCCTTCAGCCCCCCGTACCGCTTCACGCTGAGCGACGGCTCCGTGCTGAGCGCCCAAACCAAATGCAAACTCTGCTGCCCCTCGGGCCCCGAGGCTCAGCCCTTCATCATGGGCGTGCACGTCATCGACAGGTGAGAGATCCTGGAAAAA